AAAAAGGTATGTTCACAGCTGGGGCCAGCAGGTGGCGTGGTTGTTAAAGCGGCTAGACTCCCACAGGTCCGACCTGGTGGCTTGAAAATCATACCGGGCATGTGTGCCCAAAATCCTAGAAGGAGAATTGAAGAGAAGGGATTGCAGCATGACCATCCCCCTAGGCGGGTGATTTCTTACCTTCCCTCTCCATCATGGTCTCTGGTGAGTGCATGCACGCGATGACTAAAAAAAAAAGACGACCCACATCCATATTTTCATATAGTTGAAGGTGAAATCTCATATTCTAGAATCTTACTGACCTGAATATAAATTTTTTTCTCTTTGAAGGTTTCTTGTTCTCCTCAAGGGCTGAAGGTCTGGGTCCAAGACACTTCCTATTTGTGTAGTCGGGCTGGGCAGGTCCTCCCCGTCAGTATCCAGATGAATGGCTGGATTCACGGTGGAAACCTGCTCTGCCCGTCATGTGGGGACTTCTGTGAGCTCTGTCCTCCCGAAACAGATCCTCCAGCTGCTAACCTGACCCGAGCTCTGCCACTGGGTAAGTATTCGTGATGGTTAGAGGGAAATAAGATAAAGGGGGAGGGGCCAGCAGGTGGTGTGTTTAAGGCCCTGGATTCCCACATGGCTGACTGCAGTTCAAGACCCCGACCTGGCAGCTTGCTTTCTGACTTTCTCTCACTCTCTGTGTCTCTCTCTGGTTGAAATGAAAAAATAATAATAAATAAAATTAAATGAAATAATTATTTAAATAAATAAAGGGAGAAATAAAGAGAGGAGGTATAAGGTGCTGAGAATTTCCTATAAAGGTGCTAAAGGGATCAGCAGGTGGCATGGTGGTTGAGGTGCTGGACTCCCACATGGTCGACCACGGTTCAAGTCCTGGACCTGGAGGCTTGCTTTCTCACTCTCCCTTTCTCTCTGTCTGTCTTTCTCTGGTCAAAATAGAAGAATAATGGGAAACAGCAGTTAGCGTAATGGCTTTGTTGCTGGACTCCCACGTAGTCGACCGCGGTTCGCGTCCCGGACCCGGTGGCTTAAAACACACTGGGCGTGTGTGCATGCGTGCCCAAGATCTCAAGAGAAGAATGGAGGAGAAGGGATTGCAGCGTGACCATCCCCCCGGGGGGTGATTTCTCGCTTTCCAGCTCTATGTCTCTCTCTCTGTCTGTCTGGCGAGCGCACGCGCCCTATAGCGAAAATCTCTCCAAAAAAAATTAAAAATAAATTTAAAAAATAGATGAATAATGATAATAAATAAACATTTTTTTAAAAGGTGCTCTAAAGTAAGTTGAACTTTAGGGCCAGCAGGTGGCATGATAGATAAGGCACTAAACTCTCATGTGGCAAACCATGGTTCAAGTCTTGGGCCTGGCAGCTTGAAATCATGCTGGGTACATAGACATTTGTGCTCCAAATCCCCAGGGGAAAATGGTAGAGAAGGGATTGTGCATGGTCATCCCCTCAGGGGCGTGATTTCTCATTTTCCTCCTCTCTCTCTCTGTCTCTCTCCAGTGAGTGCACGTGCCCTATGGCAAAACATAAAAACAAAACTTTTTCAACTGCTGTTTTGTGAGAAAATCCTCCTTTCCATAATTATTAGAAATCTAAGGCAGCACGGAACCGGCAGGTGACATGGTGCTTAAGGGTGCTGGACTCCCACTTGGCTGACTGTGGTTCGAGTCCTGGACTTGGCAGTTTGCTTTCTCACTTTCTCTCTTTCTCTCTCCCTCCACCTTCTGGTCCAATCTAAATAAATAAATAAACTGAAGTAAAATAATTCTTAAAAGAAAAAGAAGCCTGGGAACCAGCAGTTAGCGTAATGGCTATGTCGCTGGACTCCCACGTAGTCGACCGCTGTTCACGTCCCGGACCCGGTGGCTTAAAACTCACGCTGGGCGCGTGTGCGTGCGTGCCCAAGATCCTGAGAGGAGAATGGAGGAGAAGGGATTGCGGCGTGACCATCCCCCCCTGGGGGGTGATTTATCGCTTTCTGTCTCTCTGTCTCTCTCTGTCTTTTTGGCAAGTGCACGCCCCTATAGCAAAAAACCTCTCACCCCCCCTCCCCAAATAAAAAGCACATACTGTGGTTCTGAACTTCTTTGGTTCAAATCCCAACTGTACAACCTGGTTCTATGACTTCCAAATGATTAGTTATGCACTATACTGGCGGCCCACAGTTTGAGTCCCGGACCTGGTGGTTTGCGTGTGCGCTCTCTCTCTCTCTCTCTCACACACACACACACACACTGACTCTCTCTGGTCAAATGAAAATAAATAAATAAAGATAAATAAAATAATTTTTGAGAAAAACAAAAGAAAAGAAATAGGAGACCGCATGTCCTGGTATGCCTGAGGATAGTTCATATGCCTATTGTCCTGTTATACTTGCTTATTTTTAGGATTGTTTTAAAAATTATTTTGTTGTTAAATTTTATTTATTATTACTTTTTAAAATTTGACCAGAAAGAGAGAGGGAAGGAGAGAGACTGGGAAAGTGAGGAAATAAGCCACTAGGTCCAGAACTCAAACCACAGTCTGTCATGTGGGAGTCCAGCGCCTTACCCACCACACCACCTGCCAGCCCTTGTTTTTAGATTTTTGCAATAGGGCACACGTGCTCACCAGAGAGAGAAAGGGAAAGCAATAAATCACCCCGCAGGAGGGACGGCCACACCGCAGTCCCTTCTCCTCTTGGGATTTTGGGAATGCACACCCACGTGCCCGATGTGATTTTTAAGCCTCCAGGTCTAGGTCTCCAACTGTGGTCAGCTGTGGGGGAGTCCAGCTCTTTCTTTCTTTCTTTCTTTCTTTTTTTTTTTTGGAGAGGTTTTTGCGATAGGGCGCGTGCGCTCGCCAGACAGACAAAGAGAGCCAGAGAGCCAGAAAGCGAGAAATCACCCCCCAGGGGGGATGGCCACGCCGCAATCCCTTCTCCTCCATTCTCATCTCGGGATCTTGGGCACGCATGCACACGCGCCTGGCGTGAGTTTTAAGCCACCGGGTCCGGGATGCGAACTGCAGTTGACTACATGGGAGTCCAGTGACATAGCCGTTAAGCTAACTGCTGGTCCCGAGTCCAGCACTTTCACTGCCACACCACATGCTGCCACACTGTTGTAATTATTACGGGTGCTCTCTTGTATTCTCAGAATGTACTGGTTTGGGGTGATCAATTATATGGTCACCCTAGTTAGAAGGGACAAGCAAGATAAAAGGAGAAAGTTGTTCCTCCCACTTAGATTAGCTTTTCTGTGTATCTTCAAGTTTGCTGGGGTTAACTACTCTAAGATCCTTCCTTCTTCACCTAGGTACCATTTTAAGTCTGGGTATAACAGAATATGTATAAATATAAAACAACTTTGTGTATCTTAATTTTAGGAAGTCCATTTTGGTTCTGCTCTGCAAGGTGGTTAGTCCTTTGGTCACCTGTACGCAGGCCAGCAGGTGGTGTCCAGTTAAGGCAATGGACCGTACGTGGCTGACTGTTTGAGTTGTCCACCCAACAACTTGAGAGACACACCGGGGGCCTGTGTGCGTGTGCCCAAAATGCCAAGAGGAACATGGAGAAGGACTGCAGCAAGGGCCTCTCCGCAGGGGGGCGTTTTCTCACTTTCCCTTCCTCTGTCTCTAGCAAGCGTGCACAGCTGTGGCACAGGGTCACGTATCATCAGCACATGTACTCCTCTGGTTTTGGGGGTATTTTTTAGAGAATTATTTATTTAATTTTATTTGTTGTTATTATTTTTAATTTGACCAGAAAGAGACAGAGAGCGAGACAAAGAGAAAGTGAGAAAGCAAGCCACAGTCTTGCTTGAACCACAGTCGAGTCCAGAGCCTTAACCACCATGCCACCCACCAGCCCCGTACTCACTTGCTACCATTTAATTGATAGGATTTATTCCACACACGCCTATAGAAAGTCAATTGTTTTGTTTTCAACCCTAGATCTCTGTTCCCGTTCCTCTAGCCTGGTGGTCACCCTCTGGCTTCTGCTAGGCAATCTATTTCCTCTGCTGGCAGGATTTCTTCTGTGTGTGTGGCACTAGGAACAGGAAAGACAGTTCTGGATATTCCTTTGTGTCATGTTCCTGTGAACAAAGCACAAAATCTGGGCAAGCGCCAAGCTGTGCAGGTGGCAGAGGCATTCCCGACTTCAGTGTGGATGGTTGACCACACCCAGGCCTCGGAGCAAAGCAGTCACTCCTCACAACCCAGCACCTCAGAGTTTGGCGGTGCAGAAGGATTTCCAGATCACCAAGTCTCTTCACTTTTCAAGATACGTAATCTTGAAGGAGAGATTTCCTTTGGAAGTGGGATAATTGGTGAAGTTTTCAGAGTGATTACATACCTCATCATTTTCATTAACCTAAGACAGTGCGAAGGTTCATCGTGGAGTAAATTAAACGAGCTGATTATTGCGAGACTGGAAATTGTAGATCCTGTCTTCAACAGTGTGAGTCGTCCTCCGATTGACAGAGAAGTGAACCGAGAGCTCACCGTCACTGTTACACCTGGTTTAAATGTAATAGCTGTACAGGGTGCACTCAGTCATTGTTCTCACTGTACATGCTGAAGAGTCTTCTTAAAAGATGTTTTCTAAATCTTACGATACAACAGTGCTTGCCCTTTTGCCAGCCGTGTGGCAGTTGACTCCTAACTGTTGTCAGTGTTTTGGTAGCCGTCTGTACTCACCGGAATTCAGCAAGCAGCTTCCAGCTATGTTCACTGTTAGTTTGGTTTTTTTTTTTTTTCTGTTTCTTTTTTTAAGAAACAGTCTCATTATGTTGTCCAGGCTAGTCTTGAACTTGCAATCCTCTTGCCTCATTCTCCTACGTGTCTGTCCCTACAGGCAAATACTACTATACCATGTTCCATTAATAATGACCTGAAAAACGTGGGTTCAGAAAGAGTAAAATACTCTGCCCTATGAAAACACAGAAGACATTGCAGACAGAATTGTACTTGTATGTTTTTTAGTTAATAGTTATAAATACATGGACCAGCAGTTGGCGAAATGGCTATGTCGCTGGACTCCCATGTAGTCAACCATGGTTCGAGTCCTGGACCCAGTGGCTTAAGCTCACACAGGGCGCGAGTACATGCGTGCCCAAGATCCTGAGAGGAGAATGGAGGAGAAGGGACTGCGGCATGGCCATCCTCCCTGGGGGGTGATTTCTCGCTTTCTGTCTCTCTGTGTCTTTCTGGTGAGTGCATGCGCCCTATAGCAAAACCTCTCAAAAAACAAATAGTTATAAATGTAGTCTAGCCAAAAACAGGACTACTCTTTTTTAACCAATGACCAGTGAAGATAAAGAGAAATTCTGGTGTCAGCAGGTATGCAGGCACTTTCTAGTGGACTATTGTTACAGAGGTATTTCTAACATCTGAAAATTATGTATAAGAAAAAAAATTAGTAGGAAATGGTCCAAACTGTTTACTAGTATCAAAGAATAGGTTTGGTGTAGGAACAGGTCCACTTTACTGTATAATATGGTTCTGTTCATAGACACTAGTAGACTGCCTTAGCTTATATGTCATTTCCTGCCTGCATTTGACACCCGACCATTGCCATGTAGGTTCTGGTCCTCACAAGCAGTTCTGCTCTGGTACCAGCCCCACTTAATAATTGCAATTCAAATTGTCTTAAGGATGGGCGATCCCTACTTTTTTTCTCGAAAACTAATCATGTCCTGTGGCATTCCAAACTCCTTTAGACAGCCTTCTTTCTTCTCTCACTCCTTCTCTTTCTTCCTCCTTTTCTTTCTCTCCCTCCCCCGCTTTCTTCCACTCAGCATATACATTGAGCATTGCATTGGAGAAATCATGCAACATGAACAGGCAGCATCATTACTGATTCCAACAGACTGTGGGGCGCTGAGGCCTAACAGCAGCCTCAGCATAAAAGAAAATCACTCTTTTAATACATAAATTCAAAATAAGCATTTGCATGCAGTTTTAAGTTGGAGGCATTTGTCATTGTGAAAAGCTGAGGGTCCCAAACATAGTGCATTTCTGCCAAGAGGCTGGCGGTAATGGTCTGCGGGCCAGTGCTCGGTTTCCTCCCTGCATTGTACATAGTTCAAATCACGCAAGGCCAGAGAAAGTGAAGAGTATATTTTTAAAGAAACTTCAGATAATCTAACTTATAGAGCTGTTATGATTATGAATCATCCTGCAAAGCTGTATAGAGAATGTCACCAAAAATACAATGGGTTAATATATTTGAAATTCACAGTGAGAGGTTCAACTATATTTTGACAGTTGTGCAATAATGCCATTTAGGTAGTATTGTTTCTGAGCATGGTGCTTTTTATACTTGAAATATATTTTTGCTTTATTTTTTATTGATATAATTATATTTGCACTGATGATTTTCTGGAGAAAATATTACAGATGACATTTTTTGTATATATATTTATTAAGCTTGGAATCTGGTTAGCCCAGCGTTTTCTCTGCACAAATATGAAACTTGATAAAGTGTAATGTCAAGAAATCTGGAATTCCCGAGGGTCACTGACTACACTGTTGTCTCCCTTCCATTTCAATAAGGCTTGTACGTGGTCGCTTACCACCGATTCTGCAGATGTACTCAGCACAACGGAGAAGGAGCTGACCAGTGAGACGTGTTCAGACTAAAACATTTAGTCCCTTAGAATGTGAGAATGGAAGCACAGACTTTTAAAATCTGAGATTTGCATACAGGATTACTGGTATAAAACTCAGCTGCACGCCGAAGGCTCTGCCGTGGCCTGTGCTGGTGTACTGCGGCAGGTCATGCCCTTCCTGGTCTGGGAACCAGAAAGTGAGCGCTTCCTGCAGCCATGCCTCTGTGCAGCTGGGGAGGAGTGCGAGGAGCAGCTGCCTGGGGGCCGTAGACTGGAGTCCATCCCTTCCCAGGACTCGGAAAGGGCTAAGTGCTTGTAAAACTGACTACCTCGGCTTTCAGTCCGGACGTTTGTTTTACAGTCCCAGTTCTCAAAATTATCAAGTGAATTTGTCTCAGGTTTTCAAGGACAGAATTTACGGGAAGGAAGCAAAAGCCATGTCAGTAGCCCAGAGCTGACAGATTTAAAGAAATTGGCAAATAGGTGGGCAGCTTAAGGTAGAGCCCTCCAATATTCTGGAAAACTTTTTTACCACTTCTTAGACAGTAACTTACATTTTTCCTATAGGATACTTATTTTGTTAAGACCAAACAGACACTCTAAACATGTTTAAAATTATGCTTAAAATTAGTTCTTAGCCTATGTAGTTTATTGCTATTTGACATTGAAACATAATTTTATGAAGTTTAAGTAGTTTTAGGAAGAGACATAATATGTATGTCAGAGTATTCCATAAACTTGTATCTAGGCTTTCTTCAGTATTCAAAGACTTATTGATCGAGTGGTAGCAACCAGCGGGTTCCGAGTCCTCCCATCCTTAATGGTCCATGACTGATACACGCCCAGGTCTGCCCTGTCCCTGCTGGCTCTGACCCAGTCCCGGAGGATGCCAGCTCGTGTTGTGATTGTCACAGTGTCTTGTGCTCTTTGCCTTACCACTGTCCTTGGCCTTGGACACGCACCACACAGAGAAGAGCCATCTCAGTCTCGGGGCAAGGGGCTGAGCAGTCCCCGCTGGCGCTGGTGGAGGAGGACCTCAGCTGCAGGCGCAGCCCCAGACCCGTTTCACAGCGGGCCCTCCTCCATCCCGCCTCGCCCTGTGGCCAGGAGGACTGACATATCTTAGAACTTACCTGAAAGGAAGGTTTCTTTTGTTTTTTTTTTTTTAAATCGTACATTGGGCGAGGGTTGGAGGGAGTGGTGGTGAATTATTTTCCTTTGTGTTTACATTTTCAAAAATTTAATAGAAGACTTAAACTGAGTTAATCTTTATTTATGAACTTTAAATGTAATATATTCCTTACACAACTTTAATAAAAATGGAAACTAATTTGCATCTTGTCTTTACTTAACACCATCAATATGTTTTTTTTAAGAGAGAGAGATTTTTGTTATAGGACACATGTGCTTGCCGAAGAAACAGAGAAAGACAGAAAGTGAGAAATCACTCCCCAGAGAGGATGGCCATCTTGAGATCACTTCCCCATTCTCCTCTTCGGATTTTGGGCACGCATGCACATGCACCAGGTGTGAGAGTTTCAAGCCTCCGGGTTGGGGTCTAGAACCATGGTCAACCATGTGGGAGTCCAGTGATGTAACCATTACGCCATTTGCTGGTCCCAACACATCACCATCAATTTTTAAAAATCTGAATGAGAAAAAAAAAGTCTGAATGAGGAACACAAATACCTCATTTGGGGAGGGTGAGGTGTTAATTATGAAATATAATTGAACTTTTACTTGAGAGTAATGTACAATTGTCCTACTAGGAGGATGGAAACAGGTGAGCTACGGGAGTGGCCCTCAAACAGGTAAGTAGGAGAAAGAACAGAAAAGAGTAATTCAGGGCAGCGGGACTTTTGCTAAGGATCACTCCAGCCCCCCTCCCCCTTTTTATTTATTTATTTATTTATTTATTTTTTTTTTGCCATAGGGCGAGTACACTTACTGGAGAGAGACAGAATGATAGGGAAAGTGAGAAATCACCCCCTGGGGGGATGGCCATGCCATAATCCCTTCTCCATTCTCCTCTCAGGATTTTGGACACACAGGTAGACTTGTTTTTCAAGCTGACAGGTCCAGGACTTGAACTGCACAGTTAGCATGGGAATCTAGCTGCCTTAACCATGCCACCTGCGGGCCCATTCCAGTCCCTTTTCTACACTGTGAGCTAGAAGTTTCATCATGTGACCCCTCCGTGCATTCAAGTACACGCTGTCCAGCGATGCCCAGCACATCGTGGCTGTAGTTATGAAGCATGATTCTTGCTCATGACCCGAGTGGAGCAGGAGAACATCCCCAGGAATGTGCCTTTCCCTCGTGCACTCAGCCGTGTGCATGCCCCACGAGCCAGGCAGTTTGCAGAATAGGTTGAACTTAGCCCATGTGAGCTACTTGTTAGACAGATCTTTGTGGGGATTTCCTATCAACATAGATAGTTTTGAGTACTTAATATTTTATGTATGTAACTAAAACTATACACATAAATGCCTTTGAGTAATTGAGTAAGTTCAGTATTATGTGCATAGCCTATAAAAGATAAAGCTGTCTGGGAGCAGCAGGTGGCACACTGGTTAGGGTGCTGGGTCCCATATGGCCCCACCCTGGTGCGAGTCCAGGACCCAGTGACTTCAGAAACATGCTGGGTGCATGTGTGCACAGGCCCAAAATCCCAAGAAGAGAATGGAGAAAGGATTGCAGTGTGACCATCCCCACCCAGAAGGTAACGTCTCCCTTTTTTGCTCTTGGTTTCTCCTTCTCTGGCTAGCACATCCACCCTATAGTGAACTGTTAGGTCACTGGGAAGCCATGACGTATTTTTCTTTTTCTATGCAAAAATGCGCCATGATTTTCCCAATTACCCAATTTTTTTTTTTAGAATTACTTCATTTTATTGTTATTGTCTTTATTTTTTTTAATTTGACCAGAGACAGAGAGAGATGGCAGCAGAGTGAGAAAAAAAGCCACCAGGTCCAGAATGCAAACCACAGTTGGCCATGTAGAAGT